AGTATCGGTCCTGAGCATTATATTTCTCCTCCAATTAGATCAGATCAAGAAGCTGCGGTGTTGGCATCGTCTGGAAATTATCAGTGGACTCGTGATCAATTAACCGAGGTTCGGTTGAATCTTTCTGCTGAATTTGTTGCGGATTATTGGTTGAAAGTTTTACAGCTTCAAGATGTATTAAATAATACAGTTATTTATAAAAATGATCAAGACACAAATGTTAATGTTAGGTTTTCAGTTTATACACGACCTACTGCAAGTTTTTTTTCTGATTCTTCAATATATCTTCGCCCTAAACAATCTGCTAAAATTTCATTAGACTTGCAGGGCCAAGGCAATTATCAATGTTAATTATTTTAATATTCAGACATGTAATAATTTGTTAATCAATTTATTTCTATAATTAGAACCATGGAATGTTAAACTTGGGTATTGGCCTGAGGACATTGCTGAAAGTGACGATGCAATCATCAAACCAATCGAAGAATTTGATATAATTATAAATAACCCGGACACCGAAAATGTGATTAAAGTACAAAAACCCGGAATGTACAGGCTTCTTTCAGTAACAGATTCCAAATGTTCTGGCCAAATTTTAGCACCTTCCTTTAAGAATGTGATTCTCGCTCATCCACCAACCGTCAAATTAGATGCCATTCCTATACCCGCGGATGATTGTCCTGGAGAAGTGGGTGTTGAAGTAATCCTTTCGTTAACTGGAATTCCGCCATGGTAAGCTTTGATTATAATATAATTGATCTCTACGAAATTTCATGACTTTATACATTAAACAATATTTGGTTAGGCATATCGAATATTCAATCATCTCTCAGAATAAAGAAAAAAAGGACTATGTAAAAATTGAAAAGTCAAGACATTCAATGATTATTAAACCAACTACTTCGGGACAATACGAATATAGATTTTTCCGCTTGACGGATTCCATTTATCGTGAAGGGGTTAAAATAGATCATAAATTCTCTCAAACTGTACACCCGAAACCTAATGCCGCTTTTAAAGATTCAAAAAATCGATTGTTGAATGGTTGTGTTGGAAGTCGCATCGATTTGGAAGTAGAACTCACAGGAACTGGTCCATTCACGTTAATGTAAGTACGTTATAATGTTCCGTGCTGACTTATTGTATGGTTAAGTTTCATATTAAAAAATTTTATTTATGACAGATACGAAGTAGTATTTAATAGAAGGATTAACGCGTTCACAATTGCTGATATCAGAGGCTCAACTTATGTTGTCACATCTCCACCTTTTGATAATCCAGGCTTATACACTGTGACTCTGGTGAAAATTACTGATTCAAAAGGGTGCAGCCAGATTTTAAATTCCTCTGATTATGTCACCATTAACGTTAAAAAAGATAAACCAACAGCTGGATTTAGACATTCACATGAAATTATCATGTTTCTTGAAGGAAGCAATGTTAATTTACCTTTACAATTAACTGGGCATGCACCTTGGAACATTTCTTATCGTTATCACGGTGATTTTGAAAAGGTTGAAAGAAAATCCGAAATCGCAGATCCAAATTCATTCTTAACCGTGTCAGAACAAGGAGTTTACGAATTATTAGAAGTTAAAGATTCCTTTTGCTATGGCAGAATAATACCCGAAATGAAAGAAGCTGAGGCGAGATGGCTACCACGACCATCATTGAGAATAGCAGAAGGTGATGCAGAACCATTGCCTCAAAAAGGACATTATCGTCGTAGAAATGTTTGTGAGGGGTCTGAAGATTCGGTTGGTTTAGTGATGGAAGGTCGAGCACCATGGGAAATATATTATAGCATAATCACAAGTGAAGAAGAACTAACGCGACATCAAACCGTTGGATATACAACCACTAAAATACGGCTTATGACAAATAAAGCCGGAAAGCATCTATATAACTTCACTAGTATTGCTGATGATGTTTACATTAAACCAAGTCCAATATTATTAACTCTTGAACAAACCGTTACTGCTAAACCAATTGCTCGATTTCTCTCAACGGATACAATATTTCATTGTGTTGATGTTCCATTCACAGATAAAGATATAAAGATCCAGTTAGATGGTACACCACCTTTTAGTTTAACGTTCGAAGTTACTCAGGAAAGTAGTAACAAAATGGAAACCCTAAAGATTGAAGAAATTTACGAATCCATATATAATTTTCCAGACGATGCCAACACCGCAGCTTCTTGATCTGATCTAATTGGAGGAGAAATATAATGCTCAGGACCGATACT